TAATCATAATAATAATAGTGTTGAAGTGAGTTAAGATAATCTTACTGATAAAGCATAGTTTTCAATGAATCAAGAATAATAATAATGACAATAATAATAAGAAGAGGTAGAATAATAGTAATAACAAGTAGAGAATAATAAGTAAAACGTATTACCATGGTAGATTCAGAGTCACGACCATCTCCTTTTGTATGCAGAGAGCTGGTTTATAAACTCGAATTGCACAAGCCTCTGCAATTGCAAGCATCTTCTTGTTTCTTTGTTTGCTGACAATGGTGAATGACTTGACCGCGTCGATATCATGTCCGTAATCCACAAATTGTTTTGTTATTGAGGATTTCGGCACTTTGCACTCAGCTGTTTTCAATCATTTTGGCAGATGCTCCATCATGCAAGTAGACAATCGCCTTTCCGTACAACCTATGTATTTGCTGCCACAAACGCACTCAAATTGATATATGCAGTTTGAAGTGTCGAGGATTGGCGACTGGTCTTTCCCAGATTGTTGAGGCACTCGCTTGGTGGTGTTAAGTATAACAAGTTTTGCAGCATAATAAGTTCCCTTGATGGCTTTGTCGAGTCTTCGTTTCACTACTTCCCGTACGTCATCTCCTTTGAATGGCAAATTGATACAGACAGGTTTCTTTGGAACTGTTTTGCAAGGGGTAGTTTCTTTAGAGTATTTATTAATGAACTTCTCAGGATATCCATTCTTAGGTAAAATATCCTTCAGAGATTTTATTTCATGTTCAATAGTACTGTCAGAACAAATTTTTCGTGCTCTATTGAACAGTGTTCTGACTAAGTACATTTTGTACTGGATTGGAACAAAGCTCTTGAAATGTATCTACTTTCCTGTCCATGAAAACTTTCTAAGCATAGATCTCTCGATTGTGCCATCATTCATTTTGGCTAGAAAAACGTCGGGGAATTTAATAGTATCGTTTTCCTCGTGTTCTACTGTGAAATTGAGATTTGGATGGCATGAATTGAATTTTATCAACATGTCTTCCGCTTTTGATCTGCTTTCACAGACAATAAAAATGTCATCAACATATCTTAGGTATACCTCCGTTTCTTGTATATGTTGCTGCAAAGTACCGGTTTCTAGGCGTGACAAGAATAAGTCGGCGAAAATTGGTCCCGAAGGGCTTCCCATTGCGACACCATTAACTTGACAGAAAACACGCCTGTTGGATTGGAATTGGACATTTTTAGTACATAAAAGTAGTAATTTCCGATGTTGGAATGGGTATGTCGTCAGCTTCTTTACATATGAAGTCGATAGTCTCAACGACTGGCACATTTGTGAAAAAGGAGGTGACATCAAAAGAGACCAAATGCTTATTGGATACATTGAAATTTTTAATTTGATTGACAAATTGAAATGAATCTGATATGTATCCATATAGGGGGGAGATGGCTAAACCCTGATTCCAAACCTCCAACGACTGGCGTATGAAGCTCACTGGAGCTCACCGGCAGACGTATGGACAAAGGGCTTGTTGGATGTCCTGGATGTCTGGCCCCATTCAAAAAGGCGTATGAACCGAACTCCGGTCACCGGCTGCCAATGGATAGTGGACTCCTTACTCCACTCCTACTGCCTTGTAGGTCACACTTGGCTGTGTAAAGGCTAGAGCTGCACTCTCAAACAAAAGGCCGAGCGATGCTGGGGACATCACTCGTACCAAATTCCCATGAAACTTCATGAACTCTCTTACAAATTGCCGCGCCTGGGCAGCGATGATTCGAGACGTTCATGAAGCCGGCTCATCCTCCCGTAGGAGATAGCCGAAGTAAAGTAAAAGTAAAGTAAGTATCCATATAGTATGTGTGGTTGTTTGACAGTCTGTTATATTTGCTGTGTATATATGGATCGATACTCCATTATAATTAGCCAATCATATTAAGAATGTCTATTGATTTGTTCATTTTGAATATTCGCTCAAACACTTGTTCGGCTATTCATATAATTTGCTCTCACACACTTGTGTGACAATGATTCTCCACGTGTTCGGCAAATAGAAGCATCATTGCAAACCTAGCGGTCTTCTGATTTCCGTCTTTCTCGCGTCACGAATATTAAATTCTCGAACAGTACATAACAATAATTTCCCGACGGGGAAAACTATGGATCCTTCTAAATTGAAATTACTATTTGAACAACAAATGAAATTGAATTTTTTGATTTTCCCGTCGATTGATTGGACCGAAGTGTTCGGTCTCAGGTTGACATATTGGCTTCTTGTGCAGATGCTTCGACGATGTCTGGGGATTTGATTTGTATACAATTGGTGGATGGTGGCTAGCAGTGGAATCCAGGATGCGCATTTTGTTCATTAACAAACAGACTGGTTCAGTTTCACCTTCAAGCAATCCGAATCATACCATGCTACCATCTGTCGACGGCATTGTGAATAGTATTTCACAATTAAATTATGATCCAGATGCTAATGTCACTTTTGACACATGGTATCAACGTTATGAGGATTTATTCACAGTTGATTTCGCCTCTCAAGACGATGCTTGGAAGGTGCGAGTGTTATTACGTAAATTGGGTCCTGCAGAATATGAAAGGTACTGCAACCTAATTTTACCCCAAAAACCACGTGACAAGTGTCTCGATGATACAATAAAGCTGCTGCGTGAACATTTTGGAGACCACTCCTCATTATTCAACATACGTTATCGTTGCCTCAAGCTGACAATGAAGGAAATTGATGATTTTCTTACTCATGTTGGCACAGTCAACCGAGAATGTGAGAGATTTCGACTCAGGTCCTTAACAGATGATCAATTCAAAGCCTTGATTCTCATATGCAGTCTTCAATCTCCTCGTTTCACAGATATCCGAACTCGACTGCTCAATCAGCTAGAGCAAAATCCCAAGTTAACATTACATGACATAGCTGATGAATATCAACGGCTGATTAATTTGCAAATGACACACACCTGGTCGAATCAACACCTTCGAGAAGCTCTGATATTCATGCATTACGAAAGAGCAAAAATCTCTCATCAATCTCCTGACCCACCTACTTTCTCTAATGTTCCGCGGAAATCTACACATACTCGTCCAACTTCACAAAATACTGCAAAGAAGACCCCACCATCACCATGCTGGCATTGTGGTACGTGGCACTTTGTAAAGTCTTGTCCATACAAAAATCATCGTTGCAGCAAGTGCAAAGTCATCGGTCATAAAAATGGTTTTTGTCAGCCACGCAAACCCAGGTATCATAATCCAGCGAAAGCTCGACAAACTGTTGGTCCTAAATCTCCAAGGAGATCATTGAGTCTACGCGCAACCTGTCAAGTCACAACACCAAGTATGCGGAAATATATTGACCTTCAGATGAATGGTCATGATGCACGTCTGCAGCTAGATACCGCCTCTGATATTACTGTTATATCAGAGAAACTTTGGAATAATATTGGCAGACCACCTATCACAAATACTTCCCAGACTCTTGTCAGCGCCTGTGGTGGGCGGCTCAAACTAATTGGTGAACTCAAATGTTCTGTTTCCTTCCGCAATACCAAATTCACAGGAATTTGCTACGTCACCAAGGGTGATTTAAATCTTTTGGGACTTGATTGGTTCGATCGTTTGCATCTGGCTGATGCCCCACTAAATTCGCTATGCAATGCAGCAAAGAAGCATAAAATGTCAGACAATTCCGGACGAAGCCGAAGCCGCAAACCCAACACGCAGACGAAACGACAGACGTCAACAACAAGCCCAAAGGTTCCAGATAAACCCCCAGGAAAACATCCTACTAATCATCAATCTTCTCAAAAGGGGAGGTGATATGTATCCACAAATATGTATGTGTGTGCGTGTATGGTGATCTCTCTTTCTGTTTGCTCGCTTAGTCTGTGACCATTTCAGTTTGATGAACCTGTCTCCTTTAACAATGTATATTCTCCTTATATTATATTATATATAATATAATATGAGTGTTTGTTGACAGTCCATTGTTTGGTGACAGATATCCATATTATGTGTGGTTGTTGACATGTCTGCCATATTTCGCTATGTATATATGGATCGACACTCCATTATAATTAGCCATTTGTGTTAAGACTGTCTACTGATTTGTTCACACCCTTGTCTGGATGGTCATATATATTTCGCTCACACAATCTTGTGTGACTTACTTTACTACTTACTGTGGTGTGATATACCACTTTGGCATTCTCCTTGTGTTTGGAAAATAGAAGTATCATCGCAAACCTAGTGGTCTTCTGATTTCCGCTTTCTTGCGTCAGGACTATTAAATTCTCGACCAGTACATAGCAATAATTTGGCGACGGGGAAAACTACTATTAACCACTCAGTAGCAGCAACATAACACTACTTTATAGAATACTTAGTAGGCAAGGTTTTCTTTTACACCCAGAGAGAATCGCCCTGTGCTATGCAGTTTTGAGTATTCAGTACCTAGAGTCTTATGGCCATTTATTTCGCACTTGCTGGATGAAAGAAAAACATTATTCGGTGTGGCCTTGCTGTTTGATTCGTGCGGTTCAATACTGAACATCTGAGGGTTCCCACTTCGCCTTTATTCAGTTGCACGGGTAGGTGTTCCGGGGGACGGAAAACTAAATTCGTAGAACGGCCTATTTATTTAACTCGATGTTATTTTTATAAAAACCAACAATACTGTGAGGAAGTTACGGGAAACAGTATTTCTTTGCAGCTGAAACTTTTTCGACTCATAAGCGTCTAAATGTTTATTTTTGCTATACTATATACTAAATTAGCAATTTGTTGCTTATGAAAAACATTATGCAAAATATTTGGGTGATATCTGCAGGGATCAATAGTCATTCACCTCCTCAGTTCAGAAATAATATATTCCAGTTTTCAGACTCATAATGTTGTGTCCAAGTAGTAATGTTATCAGACCTAAATTTCACTATTTTTGCCAAGTCATAACAAAAACACTCAAAACATCTGGTAATTAAGGTATTTATAAAAGTTGTCAAAGATACAGACTGGCGGAGAAAATTATGTCTCTTTTGATTAAAATGACAGCTGAAATTTCAAAATAAAAAAAATTAAAAAGATGATGTTTACAAAAATTAATTTTAGTAGCGAAGATGAAAACTTGTTAAATGCATACATTGTTCATGTATTTCATTCGAACCTTAAATTCCGTCTACACATGTTATGATTACATTTGCTGAAATGTGTAGATGTTGTCGATGTATATATTTTCATTTTCAACAGCTTTCAAAACTAAACTGCTGTAGAGCATTTTACACTCATTAGTTGCGGTAGCATTAGGAAAACTGCTTTTTTTCCAACATTCCTCTTACATATTTCTCTCTCTTTGGGCATTTAGGTAACCTTGGCCACACTCTGACATTTGAATCAGCCACCTGTACTGAACTTACCTATTAATTCAGAATAAAAATGCAAGAATAATGCAACCTGTGTCCACAGATACATCATGAATACTCAGAGTTGTATGTACATGTTTAATATTCAGTTCTTCATGCAAATGATATATATATATATATATATATAGTGGTTTGAAAACGTAAAGCATTAACACATAATATTAAAGAGACATACTTTCCAGAAATTTATTTTCCAATTCCGTGTTTCCTGCCACTTTCGCTGCATTATGCATTTGATTCAGAAGTTCCTCCAGTCTTCGAATGCACCTTATTATACTTCCTTCAAATGTATTTGTTAATTCGCAAAGACGAGAAAAAGAGACTCCTTCAGCCCATGCACATACAACTTCCATTAAGTCACCAACAAAGTGACTTACGTAAGCAGATTCATCACTTGGAAGACTCGAGCAGCGATTTGGGCATCCATCGATACTCGACATTGCAAGACACTTATCTTCGTTGTCATTCGGCCAACAATGACGAACAATCTTACACTCAGAGGAAATTCTTGCGATGTATCTTGCTTTCTCCTTAGTGATTTAAAACAAAAAAACGAAATTAGTGCAAGTTTTGCGAACTTCAGGACGACTCAGTTGCTGTTCAAACGCAGCGGAAAGAAAAACATTTATTTAGGAATATGTAACTCAAACATTTTATACCCATATTTACATATCATTTTTCAAAGGTCAGATTGTGTTGATCGACGAGCTTTAAAGAAGCCTTCCCCTCAACTTAATATCATTTAGGACACTCTGGGAGAGCGAAATGGACATATCGTACTTCCCGACGCATCGCACGAACATCAATACAAACACTAACAAATGAACAGCCAAAATAACAAACTCACATGAATACTTCTCAATGCCTTTTCCATTACAGAGGTTAAATTTAACTGACTTTGCTTTGTTTGTTTTTCTGCAACAAAGCAAGACATGACACCCGCTAATTGTGCTGCAGAGAATTTGTTGAAAAATCCATCCAGCAACAGTTCAGTTAGTATGACTTCATCACCGCTAGATATTTCACAGGCAATACGACCTTTTAGTGCGATTGTATCATCCTCTGAACAAAAATGCAGTCTTCGTAAAAGTCTTTTCCTCGCAAGCAATTCCCCATGTAAAGAAAGGGAATCTGCTTTATTCATGCGTTCACGAATACGTTCTATCTTCATTAAATTCTGTAAATGAAAAAAAGTTTGGAGTTCCGATATGCAATGCCAAAAACAACGCAAGTGAAACAGTGATACAAAAATAAAGATACAACTTATTTCATCACAAAGTTGTACAAACAATACTTGAAAAGCATTTGGGAAGATAAAATGATGTATTGATCTAGTACTACATTTCTTTATTTTAGCAAAGTAACAGTCAATGAAATTACGTGGATGTGAAATAATTCACAGAAAATTTTGTTGGTGTTAATTAAGTATTTTGTTTTTCGTTCAGGCCAAAATATAGCACAATTGGAATCGAAAGCATGATCAAGTGAGCTAAAACTGATTCAAGAGGATCATGGATAATTTATTTGAGAAACCCAACAGCACGAGTAATACATGAAGCAATTTGGATTACTGTGAGGTAAGAAGAAAGCTTCCTCTATGCTTTAGGAAGGGTGAGTTATTTTGATCTGAAAACTTTATTTCATCGCATCTCTCCACTGTCTCGAAAGTTAACTCAGAATATAATAACCAGAAATTTCGTTACTGTTAAGAACAGTGAAGTTTGATTATTTCACGAACCCTACGCATAAGAGAATCAGAGTCTAATTTCCTAAAGCGAAAATTAATAGTAAAATGTAATTCACGAAATCATCTGGACATCAGTTTGTAAAAAAATCGCTAATGTTAGTGTAACTCTGATTATTTCATGGGAAACACATCCGAGGAGTTGAAAACCAAAGGATTCCTCAGTAACTAAAGCAAAAGTTATAAGACACGCCTAACAATTCCAATTTTATTGGCTTGTGAGATGGAATTTCTTTTGAAAATGGTTATCCATCGATCGAATTCCACCGGAACTTCAGTGAAAGGTAAGATTTCAACAAAAAATTGTAAATAGCTGAACAAACATGAGCAAGTACTGTAAATTTTGAAAGCTAACTAAAGGAAATTTGTGTCAGTTTCCAGCAAAAACGCACCGAATAAATAATGCTGAAGTAAAATATTTGTAGTAAGAACAACGAAATGGAAAAATATTACATTGACAAATGTTGGGAATATTTCAGAAATATCCCATCTGACGACCTTAGGAATGAAAATCATAGTACTTAGGGACGATATAAACAACAATGACAGTTAACATGAAAAACAAAACAGCAATGTAAAGCACTCACGGTGGCTCTCTGATTGAACTGATCAATAAGATATTTAAGGTCAGTACGTGTAGACACTGTATTCATTTCCATTCGCGCCTTCAGTAAAGCAATCGTCTATTATACAAAAAGCCAAATATTAATCTGGGTAAAAATGAAAATTATACTTTTCGGAATGTTGGTAAACTTAGTGCCTAAAACTTCAATACAGGCATTCACATAATATTATTGTGAAACCTGTATTTTAACACTGTGACACGATGATTTCGACTTTCCCAATTCAATCCCGAAGCCAATCAATAGTAAACTGAACAGTAACTGTTAAGAAAATACTTATAACACATATCAAGACTGTCAATTACTACAAATATGAATGTCATGAAATTCCAAGTTCGATTGCTAAATGAAAAAAATGGATACTTACGGCAGATTGTTGTTTAATACGGTCATCCATAATGTTTAAATCCTTAATAGGATCGAGCGTAGGTAACCTGCCGCCCAATTTCTCTTCCGCACGACTAACGCCATCCCAAATTTTTCGTTTAACATGTTCTGATTGAAGAAACAATCTGTTGAGTAACATCTGAGTATTTTTGTAGTCACATTCGAATAGTGCACTTAAATTAAGACAAACACTGGAAATAGAAGACAAACAAATAAATGGCACAGATACAATTTGAATGACCGATGTTTTAGCACTGGAATGAATCTGGAAATCGCTATCATTGAATGGTTTCATAAGTGAAAGAGGTACTGGCTTTTTGGTGAAATCTGAATTATGTAAAATATGATTCTCAGCAACTTCCATGAGACAAGTAACTGAAATCCCGTTATCACGTACAGAGCTTACATTTGCATAATGGGAACGATCAATGTGTATAACAATTGCCCACCCGAAATCAACATTGTCCGGACTTTTGACCTAAGAAAAATTTAGGATAACAGGCATCAAAAGCATTATGTTAGACTTTATAAATTGGATGAAAGATCAACTAAAACTATATAATTAGAAGTATTTCTCAAAGCTCATGGGAATTATACTGCTTACAAGTAGAAAAATGGAAAGACGGATTTAAAAATGCTTGATGGAAAATGCGATAAACAGCATAATCGAATTACTTAGGTGAATATCATAAGGCTTCAACAACGCATCAACATTTTGTTCTGTTATCTGCCGTTGTCTTCAGCTACGTCCACGATTGTCCATAACCTCTCATCTCTTCACACGATCTCCATATTACCCTATGGGCCCACTCGTCGCTTCCCATCCGGATTGCACTCGAGGGTCTGGCGCGCGATGTCATTCGACGGTTTTCTCAGTGACATATCCATCTCCATTTTATCCTATATATTTGTTGAGCTCTTGGTTGGTTTGTTTCCACGGCTTCTTGTTACTAATTCTTTCTGGTCATTTGATTTTGAGGATGGAGCGACAGCTTACCAATCTCTTACTGATGCCTTTGAAATATAATCTGCCGATAATATTGATTCAATGTAATTTAAAACATTGATTTCGTTAATATCTACTTCTTTAATTACTACTATGATAAACATGTAGAATCTGATGAAGAATTTATCAAAAAGAATATCCTTTGCAAATTAATCAGACTTTGGAATTTTTAATAGAAATCTTTAATGAAGTAAAATAACATGATGCAAATCGGGAATGATGCAACCATTTAACAGCAAACACGGAATCAGATAGCCTCTTGATATTAGTTTATTCCTACTGAAATACTTCAACAAAATTGTGAACAGTTCTCGACATCATACATATTCACAGAATGCATGATTTGATGTGACGATGTAGGATCAAATAGTTTAAATGTTTTCGTAGATAACGGTTTTTGGTTATTCTTGAGATATTTTCACTACGCCACGTACCATACCAGGTATCATAAACTTCTTTCCTGGAACAAAAAGGCAAACACTTTATTTCGATATAAGAAACCTTTACATGATACAACACGAGGTGATAGTGTTATGTAGTGCAAGGACTTTCAAAGTTAGGATGACAGCCTGCAAAGCAGCTGGAGACAAGCCACAGTCAAGTCCAACACTCACAGACTGAAGGACGAAACTACAAAAGACACCTTCACTACAGCCATTAGAGCAAAGCCACAGGCACGATATAGCACCACTGTGAAAACTTGTAAGCAAGAACACTGGAACCCTCTGAAAGTATTGTTGATGGAAATCTATATACCCGTTTAAGGAGGAAGAAAGAGAAATGACAGGAAACGGCTTTCTATGGACACGTCAGAGCTAATAGATAAGGGAGGAATGATGAGACAGAGATTAACCGATGCAAAGATAGACGACGGAATGAGAAGCTGAGCTCAATGTACAACTCACTGAATAAAGAAGTGAAGAAAACTGCTAGGATAAACAAAAGACAATTCGACGGTACACTGGTCACAGATAAGAGAATCGACAGAATATAATACCAAATAACAACGTCACTTTCGGGAAAGAGATCAACACAGATGAAACTAATGGAAGACAGCGAAGAGAACCTAATTACCAAAGAGGAGAAGTAAAGGAAACAATGGATTAGTTACCACCACCCGCAACTCTTCCAGAACTTCAGCAGCCTCAGAACTGCCAGTGAACACTAATCATCCGACAAAATCAGTTTAATACCAAATATCTACTGGAAGGTGATACAAGCTGGATCAAGGAGAAGAAAATCATGTGCAGATTACCTTCCAACTCGATGAATCACCATCGAGAAGAGCATAGAGGGGTAGTCGCGTCTCTACCTCAATTTCATCGACTCTGAAAAGGCCTTCAATAGCGTTGACCGAGAAGTAATTTGGCAACTGCACCACGGAGTGCAGTGCCTCAAACCTTCATCAGACTTATTTTACAGGTGTATGACAATGACACGTATCAGGTGACACACAACAGAAAACTCAGTGAAGTCTTTGAAGTGAATACAGGAGTAAAATTGCTTTTCCTGACTGTAGTTGACTGGGTCGTACAATGTTTCAATGTCTAGGCAAATCCCTGATCGAACCAGACCTACTAACTTAACAGACACCACACGGTATTCAGAAAATTATATTATTTTTTTTAAATTGGATCTGGCGGGTCTGCAACGATTTCGAGACATATCACCAATTGTTTCCAGCCATTGGTTTTTATCGTCCTGAGGATCCCAACCAGGAAGTTCACGCATTCCTACGTGACTTCAAGTAACTGTTGTCGATTTCATTGACTGATGCAGCCATGTTTTGGTCCGATCACCACTGGGTCTTTTCCAACCAGACCGTATGTCAGCTAACATTGCCCATCGAGAGGGCGATGACTAGGCATACGTAACACATGTCCTAACCATCTCAGTTGATGTAACTTCACGGCCTCATCGACTGATTTCCCCTTCTCACCTAGCACTCGATGCCTAACCTCAATATTGCTCATCTTGTTATACCACTTCACATCGGGAGGTAGAACCTATGGTTAAAGACAGCTGGCTACGCTTTTCATGGGTTCCACTTTCAGTGGCCAGATCTCACAGTCATAAAAGAGGACGAAGTGGACTGCTGAGCAGTACACACGCCCTTGGGTCGATAGTCGGATATCACAACTACACCAGAGACTGTGTAAACTGACATATGCCAAACGAGCCTTCTATATCCGTGCTGAGATTTCATCAGCGATCATACTGCAGGCAACTTCCCAAATAAATGAAGTGGTCAACGCGCTCTACCACTTTGCTTCGTATTTCTAAGCTAGGAGTCAATGTAGTCCAGTCCTGTAGCATCATCTTACATTTGGCGGGAGCGAATCATATGCCAAACATTCGCAGATTACAGTTCAAGGTGTTCAGAAGATTATGCATAATGTCATTGTGCATGCATGCATTAACACTCAAGGAGGGTGAGGAAGACTTATGAAAAGTAATTATAGTTAGGTGGGGGGGGGTGATTATTGACTTTTTGCTCTCCGAATCTACACCTAACACGTGCAATAGGAATAACGCAACGCCAATACAGGAGATATATTAAATATTACTTCAAATAAATTCAGAGGATAAAAAATGACGGAATCACACAAAGTTGGGGAGTCTTATTAGTGCTTTGATATGATAATGGGCAATAGACTGTGCCCGAAATATCACCAGTAAGTGATCCTGTTTCACTGTTTTTATCAAATATTTTACGATGGAGCAGAAATATTACACTTAGTTGCTAGTGCGAAAATAGCATGCATTTCTTCAGGTCATTGAATCTTGCAGGACAGAATAAATAGAACCCTGCCCATCATAATGTTAATATTTCTTTTGATCGTCGTTGGTCGCTTACTTTCTGAATATTCTACCCATCCCCCTTTACTGCTCCCCATTAATCTTTCCTGGACTACTTAAGAAAGACTTTGCTTCGCTGAGAAGGGCACTGAGAGCCGTTAGTAGGTCAAGTGGGATATCGTTAAACCAACTGCTTACCACTATTGTATATAAACATATTATATCATGTAAGAAACTAGCGAATACAATATTGTCGGACCACGAGCATCCTCTCTATACGCAGCTGTCTCCTTGCATTTCATCTGGTAGAACTAGAAGCAGCTATAGGCGGCTATATGCTGGGACCACCAAATACAAAACTCCACAATACCATATCTGGCACAGCTGTTTTGTGATGAGAAATCCGTTAGGTATGACACGATCAACTTACTGCGGCACTCTAACAAATAGTCCCATTAGTTTTTGTTTTCCTTTCCTCGTTACTATTACACTGTTGTTCTCATCTACTATCACACATCAACTTTATACTTCATATCCTGTGGTGCATTGTTTGAAATGTAAACTCTACGCTGTTTTTTCTCAATTTTTAATTTTTATTTATTTTATTTTTATTTATTTATTAATCTTTTGATTTTAAAAATCTTATATAATTTATGAGGTAATTAGATGCAATATACTGTAATGCACGCTGAAAATTCCATACCTGTACCACAAGTACTGTTTGGAATAAAGCTGTTATTATTATTATTAATTTTCGATATGCTACATAAGAAAGCTAAGACTCTGCACAAGTTGGTTTCTACTTTCGCAAATCATAAAATTTTGTAATTTACCAATTCCCGACAATTTGACTCTTTATTCTTTTCTTGACTGCTGAAAAGAAAATATGTCTCTGACCGAAATAACTGATACTCCTGTTGAACAACAACTAAACATGTTACATCATTTGTTTATTGGCATCTTAATGGACATAACATTCTATTTATTCACAATCTTCTTCACACATCCCCTCAGGAAACCTAAAAGCAGTTTGATTATGTTATGTATTCTGTTTGCACGACTACATACAAAAATCCGGATTCACCTTATTCGGCAAATATTTTGTATGAAGAAAGAATTGTTAAGACGAAACTAATACACCAACCTTGTTATCGGCGAAGAAACTGTTGTTATATTCTTGGAATTTCCCAAGTATCATTTATCCTGCGTCTGCGGTAATACGTCCGAATGTACTGTGTGAAGTGGTTGGAGGCGCTAACTATTACAACCATCTAGTCTTTCACATTAGCACTGTTGTTTCTATTTATTTCTAATATGGATAAGAATAGTTTGTAGGCTTTAGAAAAAAACTTTAAGTCTACAAAGGACATTACCATGCTGTTAGACTGAAAAAAAATTATTCATGAAGGCAGGTGTAGGTATCATTAATCAAGCAAGTAGTTAACAGTAGTCTCAGGAGTGTAAGTAACAGCCGAAATAAAAATACGAATCTAGAGTCTGAGATCACAGTTGATATGACACATTGTCGACCCTAGTCACACCTACGCCACATGATCGTCTTAACTGAAACATGCTATATTATCCGCTAAATTTTGCTTCCTGGGTCTACGAAGTAGCTTGAGTGGTTATTAATACCTACTTTTTGATGTGCAAATATTAAGTGTCAAAGTGAATAACCTAGCAGTACAAAAAATTCGGGTTGATCCACTGGTATTTAGATAACTTTCTTCAGTAGTTCCCTATATTATCTCTACCGGTAATATCAAACGGAAGTAACTTCTACAAAAATGGAAAAGCCATTATGAGTACTCGTCAGTAAACATACTCGAACTACTCTACCAGGTTGAAGAAAAGGCGTAATACACTTTCTTTGTGAAACTAATAACCACTGCTCAGATTCACACGCAGAAATAGCACGTTGGAGTTTGATATATGCATGTAGTTGGTCAACATCCAAATCCTTTGGAAAACATATTTTGTCGTTAAGATTTTCGAGATCCTCGAGACCTAAAAGAACAGACGAAAGTAATTTAGATATATTCAATCAACTGAACATTCAAAAACTCATATATGCATAATTCATTTTGAAAACGTCCAAAATGTCAGTTCAATATATATTCCGCATAAACCATACGCGTATTTCGTCCTACAAAATTCAAAGTTCGAGAATAAACTTTGAAGAGGAACACTTAGCCTTTTTATACTATTCATTACCTACAAATGAATGCATTTAATAAAAAGTTATAATACAATTCTTAAATATTTCATTTAATTGCGACCAGTCCTCGAGAAATGGAAAATATAACATCATAATGAAATGAAATGTTTCTTACAAATCCAATAAAACTGATCAGTTATCTTAAGGTGTTACTAATACATATCTTATTGGAACGGAAGTTCTCGTAAAACATTTTTAGGCGTATATATATATATATATATATATATATATATATATATATATATATATATATATAATGTTCATTTATTAATAGATTAATAATTAGAAACAAACTCAGTTAAGCCAAAGATGGGAGAATTGCTAAATTTAAAAATCTAGCAATTAGTAAACGCGCAAGTTTTTTCCGAAATAACTCGGAGACTGAAATGAGTATTCCAATTACTTTTTCACCACCACGTACTGATTAAACAAAGTCACATGGAGTAGTTTTCGCAGTAAAATTCATTCATAAATGATATGGATTATTAAAAATAAATGATTTTCGTTTAGAAATAACTAACCCGAATAGTTACTTTTGTCAGATGATTTAGTAGTATTGTACGATAATTCGTTCTCTTGGAAAACAGATCACTAAATGTTACAGTTAAGTTATGTAAAGATCACGGCAACAACTAGGTAAGAAAATCTGGAGAATAAAAGCGAAGTCAAGTGACGAGAGGATGTTTTAAGCAGTTGGTCAAGAATTCTAAGTAACCGGGCAAATGGACGCATATTTTCTTTGATAATTTGAAGAAATTTGAGCATTGGGTATATGATATTCATCATTATAAAAAAAATTTTATTTCCCAATGAATGAAAAAAGATAGTGATTTTACTAACATTTCGCTATATAATCCTATTACTTTGATAAAACTATCAGCATCTGTAAACTCATTGTCGTTTTGTTTTTCATTGATTGGGAGATACAAAAATTTTCAGAATAAAATGAATACACTTCTTTGAGTCAAAAACTTTAGTTCATTGCTTTATAAGTATCTCAATGATAATAATAATAATAAAATGGGGTACGAACTTACGCTTTTCAAGAACAGGTAATTCAGATCTACATTGAAACTGATGAAAATTTTTTTTTAACATGACTTCAGGATTAATATCTTCAACACGTAGTAAATTAAGTATCATATTGTTGGTCAAGTAGAATGATGAGTCTAGTCGATCTGGTTCACCAAGCAGAATTTTTCTAGCTTCATCTGAACTGATACGATCATCTAACATCATTATCACAGTCCCACGTGTATCTTTCCCACGACGACCTGCACGTCCAGACATTTGAATATACTCTCCAGATGAAAGCAAGCGAAATTCATGGCCATCGAATTTACGAGTTGATGTGAACAATACAGTGCGAGCTGGCATATTGAGTCCCATTGCAAAAGTTTCAGTAGCATAAAGTACCTATATGAGAAGACAAAAAAGTCCATACTTGTACACTATTAACTAGATCCCTGCTGTAAAATAAGTTTTTATTTCAAATTCAGTTATCACTCCATTTTGTCATTATTAATGCCCAAGAGATCTCGATGAACGAAACAAACAGGTAATTACACTAAATTTTGTCTTCGGAGGGAGTGTATCAAAATATTCTACACAGTCATGAATTGAACCAGAAATATCGTTCGTTATAAAATTGTAACTATCCTGTCAGTGAACAAAAACGGGAATTTATGTTGGCCATTCCTTGCCTCATACACGAATAAGATAGGAAATGCATACATCAAATGTAAATCTGTGGAAATAAAGTGACTTTATGAACGGCGCATCTCCACAGAAAACAATCGTAGAAGTTGAGACAACGTTGTATAACATGACTTCATTAACTACTAGAGGCAATCTGAACTTCCGTAGAGATGTAACTTATTAGTCTTGTGTACGAGCCCTTCAGTTCAGGATATTGGTTAGTATCATCAGCTCTTAGACAATAAGTGTGGTTTGTAGCCTGCTAACACGAAGATTCTGTCCCATTCATGATCAAAAGTTTATTCCCTTTCTTTCGTAAAACAATTTTCTTAAACAATAACGCAAGTAATTGTGACATGAAACCCTGTTATCACAGACGGATCCTGTTGACCTAACATATGCAAACGATATGATTCTTCTTCATGAAGACACTGGTAAAATGCGAAATCTTCTGAGCATCGTAAGCAGAAATCTTATTATGTCTGATATGCGATTCTTTTTTTTATTCCTTCACGTTCCCAGTGGAACATAGGGCTTCAAGCTAGAGGCTTGAAGTTTCTGTAGCAGTGTTTGCTTTTACAGGATGGGGTTGCTAGCCTCATGCCCAACGTTTCCTCTTTACCAGCTTTATTTCTGCCTTAGTGAGGTAAAGGTGTGCGTCCGCCGGGGATCGAACCCCAGACCATGGTTGACGAGCGTCCTAACCACTGTGCCACCGACGCATGTTTGATATGCAATTCACCCCTGTTAAGATGGTTCAGCAGGAACGGTTGAATATGTGGACGCTACTATCTATTTAAAATTGTATCAGTCCTAATCCACTTACTGTTGACGAAATTTCAACACAGATACATGGTTTGCCATCGTTGGTATAGATGTGATATTCGGCCACACATGAGAGGACGTATGTACTGAGCAGCAGTTAGCTGCGTTCTTCTTTAGGATTGTGAGACATAGCTACTGAAAGTGGATGTGATGAGTCTAGCCGTCTTTAACTATAAGTGTCTACCACTAGTGTTGGGTACTATAGTATGGTTAGTAAGAATGAGGTTAGGAGTAGTGTCACGTAAAGAAGAAAAGTCAATCAAAGCTGTGAAGCTACATCAATAAAGGCGGTGAGGATATGTTTTAAGAGTGGTAAAACCAAAACATAAAGCCTTCGACCGTTGTTTTGAGCCACGTAGGGAAGTATGGACTGTGTGGCTGGAATCATAGAGATGATGGGAACCAGTACCAGCAGACCGTTGTGTTAGTGAAATCACTCAAAATAATTCTCAATGGCGGAGATGTATTGACTCCTTGGGATTTCCTATACACGCTAAATCCTCATTATTCTTCGCTTGATTATTCTTTATGGAGTTTATTTCCATTTATTATATTTTCCTAAATTTCATGTTTTTTACCTTTGTATGCTTTTATGAAAAGTAGTGTCCTGAACTTCTGAACCTTCAAACACAGTTCCAAGTTAAAAATGTAGTTTATTTCCGTATACTTTGATATGAATGACAAATCGTGGAATGCCAATCGTATTTCCAAAGTAGTGCTATAATTTTACGAGAAGAAATCACGCCTACGACTATCAATCAGCATACAAAATACTCGACCATGTATGTTGTCAAGCACATGCTATACAAAAGCGTATTTTTAAGAGTGTTTGTATCACAGGTTTACACATGCTTCACCGAATTCCACCTGGGAAGTTTCGTAGTTGTATTGGCGTTTTGTGGTCGGTGTATATCTCAGTTAACATAGACGAAGTGAATCACTGATTCGCATTATCCTTTAGGTAACTAATGACTACGCAGTAATTCATTTAGTATTATTTCGGATACAATAAAAACAATGATGGATCAACAAGAGAGTTACAATTTAAAAGTAAGCATATACTCACTTTTATCAAACCTTCAGCAAACAATACTTCAACGATTTCTTTTAAAATCGGTAATAAACCTCCATGGTGTATACCGATTCCACGACGTAGCACAGGTAATAAAATCTGAACCTGTGGAAGCTTCCTATCTTCAACGGTAAGATTCTCGATCGCATTATTAAATACTATTTCAATGGCAGTCTTCTCAGAGTCTAAAACATTGATGATTAAAAATTATTCCTGTGTTGAATTTAATAAATAACTAAGCACAAACACCAACTGTCATTTTATGACAATTGACAGAGTAGAAATAATTTTCCGGTAAAAATATCAACTGAAGCGGAGCAAAACATAATTACAATAACCAATAAATACATACAAAAGACAGTGCAATGACATGAATTATGTCAGAAATTTGAAGGTAGCTATGAGAGTTAAACCCCTATGCCTGCGAGAGACAATTTTACCTAATTAGAATGGATTGCAAAGATTTTCAGGTGGTGGAAACGTCACAGCTTATAAGAATGGAATACAGCTCCATGGCGAACTCTAAAATCTAATATGCATATTTACATTTAAAAGATAACAGATATTAAGTCTTTACTCCTTTCCTATAGAAACGAAAACACGAAATTACCGTGAGTTAACTAGACGTAGTTAGCAACGTATATCAGATTATGTCCATAATTTGTAGATACCTTAAAGACTGAAAAGTGACTCCAGCGCCTTATTTGAAAAACTGTTTACAATAAACAATGATAGACTAAAAGTGTTGGTTTTGAAAACTACTCATTATTCAAGAATGAATAGACAAGGGGTTTGAAATCAAGATGCAACCTCCCATACGCACATACTTACGATAATTTTAGTTTTAATTGTTTTCGTAAATTGACGGCATTACTTGCTTCAGCACTGCCAAAAATTTCTACAAAAATAACTTTCTATAGTTTGGTTTGTAAGGGTTAGTTACGTTTTTACGACTTGATCATGGATTAATATCAGTTAGAGAACCATTGAAAACCAGGGACTATATATATACCCTAACTTCTTTTGATAGAAGTTCTTATAAATACATCTATAACTGTACAAAAAGTTAAGAGATTATCGAAAAATACCACCATGTTTTTCATTACATTTTAATGGGATGAAAAGTTATGAGAATAAAATGCTCACCAGTACTAAAATTCATTTTGTTTAGCTGCATAGCATAATATTCACAATCCATTTTACTGAAAGAAAACACAATAAGCGGCTCCAAATTTTGATCCATTACCAATTTAACTAACTTTAAGCAATGTGGCTGGGCACCTAATTTGATTAAAAATAATAAAGTAACTTTTTATTATTCACTGTCGACAGACAAATAGAATATAAAGGATTTACATGTGCAAACCAAATTAGAACAGAAGCTCTATCTAAAGCAATTCAAAGTTGATGGCTAGTGAAAATACAAGAGTACATGTAGGACAACTGATTACTTTTTAAAACTGACTCAATAAGTTGAATTGAAATGATGTGTTAGCAAACATCTTTGTGGGTATATATTGCACTCACATATCTTTTTTTTATAAAATCACCTGTTCAGTTGGAAAAATACATATAGAAATCAAAACAGGAAACTCTGTGTTACACAAAACAGCACCCACTTTATCAAAAGACGCAAGAAATTCAGGATACTTTCGAGACAGTAACGAGCCCCAAAAGAAATGATATCACTAGTCTCAATATTTTACGAACAAAGCCAATAATTATTACCAATATTTAGTGGATGAAGTCTAAAATACTTATGAAAAATGCAATTCATGTGCGGAGTAAACATCTACTTTCACCACCGTTAAATATTTCAATGCATCAAGAATTCCAGTGTTACCTGAAGCACGACTCACAGTTTATTCTGCAAATAGTTACTGGTATTTAGATTTAATAATTTGACAAGGAGAATAAGTAAAAATCAGCATACTACAGATTGGCTTGATCAGCTGATAACCATTATCATCAATCAACATTCTGAGACAGCACCATCGTAGTGGTATGAACGCCACTTTACTTATTGTCTTGGCAACCAGTGCTCGTATGTTCTCTGTGCAGAATCAGTAACGCTACTTGAATCTAGCTCAGTTTGACATCTGGTCGCAATTGGTGTAGCTAATTTCTTAACGCCTTTTATGATTAATACCAAATCTCAATAGGAACCAGATTTTTAACAAAGCGTGATCGGGATCCAGACAATTGTCAGAGAAGCGACACTCCACATCATTGTTAGCCTGTGTGATCTGTTTCTGTCCAAACTTGAGCGTGGTAGGACACATGGGTACACTAGAAGTTGAATCCCGTTAGAATTAAGTTGTGATATGCAAAAAGCTGCAGTAGACAGAGCCTGCCATCAGATTTGCGACGATCTATACCTCATCAGCTCGCGGCACAAGTATGGATAGCTTCCGCTAGACTGAACTACAGATGGCTCCGGAGATAGCCCATTACCCAAACTCTGTTGGACCAACATATGAGCAATTCAGTAGTTCTGAGAAGTCGTAAGTAATAATAATAATTTGCTTTATTCCAAAACAGTACTTGTGATACAGAATGGAATTCTCAGCATTTCATTACAGTATTGCATCCAGTTAGTACATTAACAATAAATAAAATTCTACATAAATTAAGGGTAATCTCAGTTAGTTTTGACAACAACGTTATTGGCATGTCGGTAGCAAAGCCGAAATTGAACAGAGTGTTTGAAGGTGTTAGAAAAGTAGATACTAGCATATTTACTGGCGCAAGCGGTAACAAAAGGTCGAGATATTCAGATTGTGAAATAAGGAAGAGGAATGTTTTAAATCGAGTTAGTACGGAAGAGAATAGCAAAGCAGCACATAACGGAAAAAGGGAAAAGGAAAAGAGAGAAAGAAAACGTTGTACCTATAAATGATATGAGTTGGAAAGACGAGATCCAGTTGTTCTACTGACTATTAATAATGCTTTCTTTATCGTACAGAACATGAGCTAAGTAGGGTATGGTTGAGTTTCTGTGCTTGCTAGTGCGAGCATATAGTTTCCTATATAGGCTTCTGGTTCTGCCTGATGAGATACAAGGGGAGTGTGAATGAAGAGGGTGGTGCGAGTTAGATAAAATGGACCGAAAGCTGCTACCTTGATGTGGTGGTCGGGCTTGAACACCTCAATGACCCAACAAGCTATACTGGCAGAGACTTATGTCGCTTGAGGTCCCACCATGTCAGAAATGTTGTTTGGATAGCGGTTAGACAAAAAGCAGCTACCCAATCAAATGCTGTGACTCAAACAAAGTCACAAAATATCATGCGGGATCGGTCGGGGCCCGGATTAACAACGACCGCGCTTCCTGCTGCCGTGTCACAGGGCAGAAGTGATAAGTATGCTACTGAGACACACCAAAAAAAAAGAACAACAAAAACAGGCCGCGTGTGACCGGCCTCAAGCAGTTGTCCCCTGGGCTCTGCGGTCACGCAACCAACTTCCACGGTGTGGGCAGCCGGGAAGTAACAATCGCCCTCACAATCCGAAATGCACACAAAACCTCTCTAATCCTCACTTATCTTTGTCTTCATCTTCATCTCTATTACCTTGCCTTCCTTCCACTGATGCAACTCCTCTACTTGATGGCTCCTCACTCCCTCTTCACTCTGTGTCCACTAAAAACGACGGAAGCCAAAAAACCACCACGATAGTCTCCTAAAGCCACGCCACCAATTTCATATAGGAGCATTTAATGTTAGGACACTTTGCCAAATAGGACAACAAGCATCACTAGCTAAGACCCTGGCATCCGAGCCATTGATGTATGTTGTGTTTCAGAAACACGCATACAAGACCCAAGTGTGGTTATTCACCTAACCCCACCTGGCCAACAGGATGAATCTTCAAAATTCACCTTGAGGGTGTCAGGAGATGCCACAGCTAGTTCACGAGGATTAGCTGGCGTAGGGATAGCTTTGAGTACTAGGGCAGAAAAGACATTACTTGACTGGATCCCGGTAGATAGCCGAATGTGTGCTGTCCGTCTGAACGGATCAGTAAGAAGGAGAAAGGACTGCACTACTCGCCGATGCCTTTTCGTAATCTCCGCCTACGCCCCCACTGACTGCAGTTCGGATGAAACGAAGGATGAGTTCTACCAAAAGCTGTCTAGTTTGGTGAGAAAGGCTAAACGCTCAGATATAGTCGTTCTAGCTGGTGACTTTAATGCTCAAGTAGGGAAATTGTGTCAATCTGAGAAGGATGTCGGTGGCACCTATGGAGTTCCGTGCCAGCGAACCGACAACGGTGACCGTCTCCTACAGTTCTGTTCAGATAATCATTTGTTTCTTGTAAGCACTAACTTTAAACACAAGGAGAGACACTGTTTAACCTGGCGACCCCCATCATCAAACCAACGCTGGACACAAATAGACCACATAGCAATAAGCTATCGTTGGCGTGGGTCGGTAGGAGATTGTCGCTCCTTCTGGAACACGTGTGTAGATACCGATCACGCACTGGTCCGGGCTCGTGTGTGCTTACGACTGAACGGACGTAGGAAACAGCTGGCGGTAAAACCATCACGTCCCCAGCTCGATCAGGAAACTAAATCCCTATTTGAGGAAGAACTAGCTAAACGCATATCTGAGTTCGACAGCTGTGCTCACCCTGGAGAAGCCTGGAAGAATATTCAGTCAGCTATAGATACAGCTGTAAAAGCTGTGAATAAGGCAAATCCAAAGGTGAGTAAAAACCACTGGATTTCGACTGCCTCATCCGAACTGATAGATGCTAGAAGACTTATTCCGGCGAGCTCCGAATTCAATGAGGAGCGAAAGCTGCACAAAAGGAAACTTACTAAAAGTCTCCGCAAGGACCGTGAACAGTGGTGGGTGACAAAGGCGAAAGAGATGGAAAAAGCATCGGCGATAGGCAACACTAGGCAACTCTTTAGACTCATCACAGAAACGGGTGGGAGAAGGCAATTCATAAGTGAGACTATTTCTGAGAAAAATGGCTCCTCAGGATAGACGCCTTGAACGCTGGAAAGAACACTTTGAGGAACAATTTAACTTGCCTACAGCCACACTGAACCTCCCCGACATCCACCACACACCCGAATGGGATATAGACACTGGTCCGCCGTCTGTAGTGAGGTCACAAAAGCTATCAGTAATTTGAAACGAGGCAAAGCGGCAGGACCCGACGGAATTATTCCGGAGGTGTTTAAATATGGGGGTGACATACTAGTTTGTAGATTAACTGAGGTACTAGGCAAAGTCTGGGAATCAGAGACAGTCCATCAGACTGGGGTAAGTCACTTATTATACCGATATTCAAGAAGGGAAACAAGTCCTCGTGTGATAATCATAGGGGGATCAGCCTAACGAACATAGTCTCTAAAATCCTAGGCTCAGTAATCATGCATAGACTAAGCAGAACTCGGGAGGAACAGACAAGGGAAAATCAAGCAGGCTTTAGACCAGGTAGAGGGTGCATAGATCATATCTTCACTCTTCGACAGATTCTAGAACATAGACACACTTTTCGGCGTCCAACAATTGTCATATTTCTTGACTTGAAGGCGGCCTTCGACTCCGTGGATCGAAAGGTACTATGGCAATGTCTGACTGTGAAGGGAGTGCCAAGAAAGTACATTGCACTAATCAAGGCACTCTATTCAAACTCACGTAGTCGTGTAAGGGCTTATGGGGAATTGTCATCTGAATTGGTAACAACCAGTGGTGTCCGACAGGGATGTCCACTTTCCCCATTTCTGTTTAACTTCATCATAGATATGCTAATGGAAGTATCCTTAACTGAACGTAATGACTTAGGAATCGACTTGTTACCAGGGAATAGTCTTATGGACTTAGAATATGCAGATGACATAGTCCTGTTAGGGGAGGATGCTGACAAAATGCAGAGTCTTCTGAACACCTTGAGCAGCAATCTTCGTATGTTTGGCATGCGATTCGCCCCTGCAAAATGTAAGATGCTGCTACAGGACTGGACCACGTCAACTCCTAGCTTAGTGATAGAACATGATGACCACTTCACCTATTTGGGAAGTTGTATTAGCACCAACGGACTGATTGGCGATGAAATCTCAGCACGGATCCGAAAAGCTCGAGCTGCTTTCGCTGACTTACACCATCTCTGGCGTAGGCGTGACATCCGGTTATCAACCAAGGGACGTGTGTACTGCTCATCAGTTCGCTCCGTCCTTCTCTATGGCTCTGAAACATGGCCAATACGCGTTGAAGACATGAAAAGGTTGACTGCTTTCGATCATAGATGTCTGCGATCTCTGTCTCACGTTAGGTGGTTTAATAAGGTAAGTAATGTTGACGTTAGGCGTAGTGTTGGGCAAAGAGGGAAAATCAATCGACGAGGCTATAAAGTTACATAGACTAAGATGGCTAGGTCACGTGCTGCGCATGCCTAACCACCGCCTCCCCCGACGGGCATTACTAGCTGATATAGGTGCAGGTTGGAAAAGAGCCAGTGGTGGCCAAACAAAAACATGGCATCAATCCATGAAATCCTTGACAGTTAAACTGAGTCAGGTAGGGAGATGCAGACTTCCGGGTTGGGGCCCTCGGGACTCTAGGAATCAATGGCTGGAGACAATAGGTGACATGGCTCAAAATCGTTGTCAATGGCGCAGATGTATTCAGTCTCTGTAATCTTTCATATTCCTTTCTACCATTACCCATTCTGTTTCACTCTTATACTTGTCAAACTCTATTGATTCTCTTCACTCATCTTCTTGTCTATTTGGAAATTGGCAACTCGAACTGCTGCACTTTGGTGCCAAGTTCTATGTTGAATCCAGACAGACAGATAAAATGGATTTAGCCCATTTTGCAGAAGAGATCAATTGCCTGTCGACCAGAATATTAACAAGCTGGTTAAGTGGCACGTTGCTTACCCTGCTGACAACCTTTAACATCCTGCGTATCCTTGAAAAACTAAGGGAGAACAATAGAGAATAATAGGTAAGATGCAAGAGTTAAGGAATCGTAGGAGTAAGGGTTGAGTTATTCCAGAATGTCTTAACTTCTTGATGTAGAAGGTAAGACAGGATATTTTCCTAGAAATCATCAAGATATGAGACGACCAGGAAAGGTCAGCAGATAGAATGACCTGGTGGCCTGTTCGAATTTTCGGGCCAGCTATTATAAATAAAATAAGTAAGTCAGTGGAAAATGTTGTACACTGCTGTCCCATATTTTACGCATAATTCCTTTACATCAACAGAAGCAAAATTAGTTTAGAAGAAACCAGAAGACAACTATAGCATAAACCTGCACATCGTTTAGGTGAAACGAAAAGGTATAGGTGAAAAATACAGCAAAGCCTAGGTATCATAATGGTCGTAATAATTGGAAGGCACCTGTACTTACACATCTTTTGTGATAAACATGAGTGCAACAGTAGACAACGTGGAAAACTTACGAGTGCTGCCATTATTGCGTCCACGCGACCTCGTATCGGAAACTGCATTGCCACCAGCATTTTGCAATACATGTAGGGCACTGTTAAAGTTGGACTCCAGAAACTCACGCTGGAAATGAGTAAGATGGAAGACAGTACCCCAACGAAAGAGTATATTAATCGGATGCAAGAAATGTCATACTATCAAACAAATAATGTATGTCAATATATAATTATATATTAATTATTATAACTATTATTATATAATAAATACAAGCTAAACTTATTGCACTGCTCCCTACATTTAGTAAATGTTCACTGCAGAGTAATTAAAACACTTATTGGTGATCAAAGTGTAAGGGTTACTTTGCTGAAAATGTAAGCTTTCTAGAGCACAACGTCATGTTCTTCTGTCTGTATTCTTTGATTATATAATTTCTGCTTCTTTTATCACTTTTCTTTCGTTATCTTCAATCAGTGATCACTAGGGAATAATCAACACCATGAGTTTAATCCCGAAAGTTGGTGCTAACTGGATTCTATCGGGCAAGTTTGGAATGTGGCAATTTGAACCGCTTCAATTTTGTGTAGAGTCCCACGTTGAAAACCTATCTCACCACATACATGTTTAGTGGTAACATGTTACTGTAGTCATGATGCATGTTCAAATCTTACTTACTACTTTACTTTACTTCGGCTATCTCCTACGGGAGGATGAGCCGGCTTCAAGAACGTCTCGAATCATCGCTGCCCAGGCGCGGCAATTTGTAAGAGAGTTCATGAAGTTTCATGGGGATTTGGTACGAGTGATGTCCCCAGCATCGCTCGGCCTTTTGTTTGAGAGTGCAGCTCTAGCCTTTACACAGCCAAGTGTGACCTACAAGGCAGTAGGAGTGGAGTAAGGAGTCCACTATCCATTGGCAGCCGGTGACCGGAGTTCGGTTCATACGCCTTTTTGAATGGGGCCAGACATCCAGGACATCCAACAAGCCCTTTGTCCATACGTCTGCCGGTGAGCTCCAGTGAGCTTCATACGCCAGTCGTTGAAGGTTTGGAATCAGGGTTTAGCCATCTCCCCTAGACTGTCATCCAATGGACAGTCAACCCGGTGGAGAGCGCCGGGCATCCGCTTTCGCCCTCTCACTTTGGTGAGAAACACCTCCGCCACGTGAAGGCAGTGAGTAGGACTTCCTCAGGAGAGGCTATGTAAGACGCCCGGTCATATGGGAGCATTTCAAGAGGTGTGCGGAGGGGTGGCCAACTCGCAGCGCAAGGCACCCACCCCCGACCATCCTGAGGCTTTGTTCAAATCTTCGAAAGGAATCATTCCTTTTGAAGTTGCAGATACTTCTTGGCAACAGGTATGCAACCTAGGTCCATGGCTGTTTGCCGACTGCCTCCAACTAACCGACACTCACTTCACCTGCAGATACGAGGTGTGACAACTTGAACTCCATAAGCAGTAATGTTGGTCATGTAGAGACTGAGCTGTTTGGATTCACTGACTGGTTTTTACACTTGTTCCATACATCGTCAGAAATACTATCTAAACCTCCCTCAATCCAACAGGAATTCTCCTGTTTTTGAATCGAACTCTGAGGAGACATTAAATCCCCCCAATCAAGACCCTGCCGATAGATATGTACTGATAATACAATAACACTGCCATCAATTTGTCGTGTGTATTGTTTTTTTCCTTCACGTTCTCCAGTGGAACATAGGGCTTCAAGCTAGAGGCTTGAAGTTTCTGTAGCAGTGTTTGCTTTTACAGGATGGGGTTGCTAGCCTCATGCCCAACCTTTCCTCTTCGCCAGCATTGTTTCTGGCTTAGCGAGGTAAAGGAGTGTGTCGGTTGGGGATCGAATCCCATACCATGTGCATGGTCGGTGAGCGTCCTAACCGCTATGCCACCGACGCACCGTCTGTATTGTTTGGAATGGTCTAATTTTACAGCATAATGAATTCTGCTAAAGTAAAATTAGCCTGGAAGGTAGTTAAAGCTAGTTAGACAAATTGATATTGATAAGCGATATGATTATGGACAAAAAATTGTGTTCGAAACATCATCTAGTAAATAATACTGCCTCACTATGTGATATATCGGATAAACAAATTAATATGGGACTAATTAGACAAAAAACATTGGGTCAGATAATTTACCACTGATGTGTCTGACTGGGAAAGCAACCAATGAAGTACAGCAATGATTTTTAAATTAGAACATACGTTTTCACTACATATCAAACATGTCTACCCATTTCAGAACAATTCCATTCCCCTTTTCTTATTTTATGTGAATTAGTGAAGTAGTGTGAAATGAGCAAAGCCCTACTTTGAAACGTCAATTAATCGTCTACTCCTGGGTTCTTTCACTCATCACTTAGTCCTTTATATTATCATTTTCTCTCTCCTGTACTTGGCTTTATTTTCATGCTGACGCAACGAAGCCAACCACCTTAACTGAAAAAATTAAACTTGGACCCACACAACCTCAGCTGTGAGTCTCTACAACACCTTTAATCCCTTTCATACGAGAAACTGGCTCTCGGTTTCTATCGTTACGTCAATTCAATGCAAGTCTGTGATCACATACATCTGTTTATACCACACAGCATTATATACAATATCAATTTCCACCGGGATTCGGCAGGACCATCTAAACGCCACTTTAATAATTTTCACTAAATATTCTTTGATCAAAACATACTAAAAAAACCAGTGGCTCACCGTCCCTATATTGCAACTCTAACACTAGTGATTAAAACTTTTATTTGATAATACCCTAATTATATGAAGAGGGATCACACTATAGATTTTGTTTATATTATGAATACTAATCGTCAATTCACAAACAGATATTAAGAAAATGAAATGGCGACAGAAAATAGAAGTATTAATTCTAGTGTGTTGTTAGGCTTTACTTTTGTGTGTCGATTGTACTGTTATACAGTTTCGTCGAAATTCCTTAATAAACATTTTTATGTAACGAAAATAATTGACCGTTTACACATTTTTACAAAACTTACATTTTGATTAACTACCAAATGAATACCATCTCCGCCACAGGGGAAAACATAATGCTGAAGTGGTACAGGACGATAGTCTGTTGAAACAACATGACAGGGCTTGTCATGCAAAAATACTATCCATTCGGCAAATTCGCGGGCATTTGGGATTGTTGCACTAAGAAAAACAAGTCCAACGCTATCCGGCAGTAAGATAATAGTTTCTTCCCAGATAACACCGCGCTCTTTTTCTCTCATATAGTGGATTTCATCAAAAATGACCCAACCAACTTCACGCGTGATTTCTGATCCTCTGAAATATAAAGAAATAGAAAACACAATAGTTTGCTTAGTTGGTTATAAACAATTAGAGAGACTAAACAGCAAAATGATAAAGTCCTTGAATGCAGCACAAGGTGTTTGAATATTTCCCCACAAATAACCCAGCATTGTCACGAGTGGTTAGACTACAAAATTCATTCTCCAAATACTTTCGTAAGACTAGGGAAATTCTAACTTTATGTGAGTTGTTTCAGGAGTGGGAGGATGTGCGCGAATGCCAATCGCTCATCAGTGAAATGCATATAGAAAGTTTACCTACGGTAGTTGGAAAACCCTAGTTCTAAGTCTATGACGCATGTGCTGCATGATAAAGAAGTAGTCAAGTGGCTTAGACACCGTATTAAATATTTCACTTAGTTTCGAATAGCTTCATCCACTGTCAGCTGGAAAGTACGTTTCATGCGCAATTACCTGAATACGCTGTGGCATAGGCGGAAACGCTTGAACGGAAGCCCATTAACAGTAGTTAGACTGCTGCAGTGAGGTTAGACAGAGTTGTTCCATATTGCTATCTTCCTTTAACTTTCCTAAAGATGACGTTCTGGGAACAGCTCAGAGAGATGTGTAGATCTGTACACTAGCTAGAGACTTTTCGAATTGGAGTATGCACGCATTGGTCTGCCGTGTGACAACATACAGGCTACCCAAATCATGTCTAATGTCATGGCGAATAGTAACAGCAAGTATTTTATAGGCTATGCAACCGCCCAAGTGCAAAATACTTTTGGAATACTGGCAGAAACCTGTACTCGCACTCATCTTACAAATCGACCGTTAGAAGCAGTAGGAAACTGTGTACCAAGATATTCGAGCAACTGCTGGCTGACAGATGCTGACCTGAGCCATTTCTCGTGCTGTCATGGTGTTATTTCGGTCATCAGACAGCGCCACAGTGACTGAATTTTTACCCTACACTTGTGAATCCTAACAGCTCTAAGAGCCATTATCTTCGGACATCGCCTTTGGTTGCTTGGTCATTTACTACAAATGTCACTCCTAGGACCAGAGGAGATGTACTATGTCTTAATGTTTACGTGACCTGACATTTGACTGTTATGTAGATTAATGATAAGGTCATTGGATTTTTTATTGGTACATACTAGCCAGTCTAAACACTGCTTTCATGTCGTAATCCAGTAATGTACTTGCACCCGTGTAATTGGATAGGTAGCCCAATATTTCACAAGTTAGCAAATGACAAACGGATCTGTCTCACATTGATCTTAAGATCTTTAAGCACATAATGGTACGTGAATCCGCTATGGTCACCAACAATCGTGGGAATGCAGATCCTGGTTTTGATAGTCGCATGTAGAGGTAAATCTTTCAATGAATTAGTTAGTTGAGATTGGGTAAGGGGAACGCAGGGATGAACGTAGGCTAAAGTAAGATCAGGCTTATCAAGAGATGGGGACAGTCAGACCAAAATTTGGCACCAATCTAAGAAATTCACTACTGTGAATCTGAGACATTTAAAGTGCAGTTTCCTTGAATATTTTTCGGTAAGTTCGAAACCATTAATAGCACAGATGCCTAACTACAGAAAACTCAACATGCGAATGAAAATACTATCTCGGCGATTTCTTGTGTTGCAGCTCTTTGTTTTAAGCATCAGGTTTTAAGTCAATTAGTCTTAGATTTAAGTCCCGTTCCATCTACTCAAGTCTGCGCGAATGATTAGTTTTATCGGTCTTCACACAAAATATTGACAATCCTTGGTCTGATACTGAGTTGAGTTGACAGTGATATATAGTGTCATACCTGTTTGTCCGTTAGAGACCACTCACTAAAAAAGTATTAGTGACATTACGAGTACAATTTATAGTTAACGGTCATGTATTTTATTCTACTGATCAGTGGTAGTAAAAGTTAATCATGGAACATGCATTTTCGGTAGTTGGCAATGAACCACATTTGTGAGGGCTAACACTACTACTTGGATACCAAAAGCGCAGCAGGTGTCCGACCCGTTTGGGTTTGGGAGTCGAAAATCACTGATTAATTATCATGAATATTTATGTATCGTATTAAAGCTGATGGGAACAGGAAGCTGATGATATCAGTAATGAGCTAAATACGTAATATAACTACTAGTTATAATTATCTTTCATTTTAAGAATTCCTAGTCTATGTTAAAATATGACCACTAGAGTCTTACTTTACTTTACTTTACTTTACTTCGGCTATCTCCTACGGGAGGATGAGCCGGCTTCATGAACGTCTCGAATCATCGCTGCCCAGGCGCGGCAATTTGTAAGAGAGTTCTTGAAGTTTCATGGGAATTTGGTACGAGTGATGTCCCCAGCATCGCTCGGCCACTAGAGTCTTCTCCATCATAATATAATTTGATATCAGAAAGATGACACCATTTGCTTTATATGAACAGTTTGGGAAAGCCGCGAGATGCTTAGACACTACGGACTATAAAATCCTGTTTTTCTCCTGTTTAACATGAACTTGTAGTATATGACTAAACACCAATGGATATATTTACAAACAAGGCCCAGAAGGAACAAAAGCAGTTTCGCAAAAATGAAATGAAAGCTGTTAGTTACCTGTATAGCATCGATCTCAGTATTTCAGTCGTCATAATAAGAACAGTTGCTTCCTGGTTAATAGTTATGTCACCAGTCATAAGGCCAACATCCTTAAAACTTTCGGAAAACTCACGAAACTTTTGATTACTTAAGGCTTTTATAGGTGTTGTGTAAATAACGCGCTGCTTCTGAATCAAGCTTTTAGCAACTGCATACCTAAGAATATCCTGCGATAAAACAGCTAAGCGCTTACTCTGCAACCGCAGTTTTACCAGCGGAAGTATGAGCGGATACCATGACAGATTGTTCGTTTTCAATACAAAGAATAGCACGTTGCTGAAATGGATCTAACGTGAAAGAATAATGTTTTGCGGGCATCTCCACTCTCTGTATGTTTTTGAGTAAACGGCCAGCAGGATAAACAACCTAAGAAACCATAATATTATTAATTACAACAGACCTCATGAATGCAACCATATCCGGTAAAAAGTGTGTTAGTCTGGAATTTCGGAAACTTTTTGCAGCACTTTTTCGCCTCAATTAGATCGCTAGGTGCTTTGCTGCATCTAAGGGACAATAAGTCACGTTGCGCTACAAAAACCACCTTTTTCCGAAACTTTTTTCTTCGTGAAAAGCCGAAGCAACTTCCGCCAAGTTGACATCTAAAAACTCCATATTACCTTTAGCAGTGCTATAACGATACAGAACACTATGTTATTGAATTGAGGGCAAAAGCCAACACCCTAGAAACAAAAACTAAGACAATAAATTACGCAGAAAATAATATTTAGAAATTAATGAAAATATTTTACTTAACAAAGTATTTCACAGTAGAGATTTATAGTTCAGGATTGTTTTTCTTCCAGATACATTCTAACAGAGATACAAAAAGCTCTTCTGTCTGCAGTCACATTTCACCAATAAAAGGAAAAGACAATTTAACAGTGCAGTTTAACAGAGGCGCCTGGGACTTCAAAGACAGAAGGTGAAATCTTTTATTGTGTGTAGATTTTCCTTAGATATTATTGCATCAAGACACCACCATTGGCCTTCCTCAGTATTTGTGAAATGTATGTCTGAACTGTGATAACCTAGACATCTATTGACTGGAGCAGAACTTAGAGCAAAACTGAAACAGTTCTAATGAGGCAGTGTAAACCAGACTTAGAAATTCAACAAACCTAGATTTATTCAGCGTTATCTTAGTTAACATGAAACAGAAGTTAAAAGTTTTCCAAACACTTTAGGCAGAGGTAGATGGCAGAAGTGCTACACAGAGCCGAAGCGGAAATTAGTTCAGATGCTTTGCAGTCTGCCTCCTTATCTCTGCTGTATATATATATATCAGAGATCTGATTTTCCACTTAATCAAGGAAGGAGCTCTAACAGTTTATCACCCTATATGAGAACCCGAGTTTTATTTGCTAAACCGTGGTTTAGGCTTCTTTTTATGATAACCTCCCACAGGTATCCTTGAAGCAGCGAAATTAAAATCAATATTCAAATCAACATTGAATGCACCATAATAATTAGACATTTACATATCCAACCCTCCTTTCATAAGGACGTTGTGAGATTCCTCGAACTGACCCAGTGTCTACTGTTTCCAAAGCTTGTGTCCCTGTATATAATATTTAAGATGAAGTGTAGCGTGCTAAGTACAGTGCCTTCAGCTTATTCTCATCTAAGCAATATTCCGAAAGCTTTGGCCTCAGGTATACTATAAAATGCAGCTGTTTTTAGGTTACGGATGATAGAAACTCCTAAATCCTTTTGTCACTTAGCATCAAACAATCCTACTTCACCACAAAACTCCGTTGATTCAGACCTCTGGATTGTGCGCTAATGTTCTCCTCTGTAATTAATTTCCACACCTCTGGAGTATGGTAAGGAATTACAGAAGAAGAAAGGTAGTGCACTTAGGCCAGATGCCTTGCATATCGAACTCTCCAGGGGGACGCAAAACTGCCCGGTGTTAAGTAACAAAAGGACTTCGAAATTATTGTCAGCAATCATCTGAAAAGAACTCCATATTGTAATGCAGCTACAGTGATGGCTTTTCAAACCCTATGGGCACTTCGAAGGGATTGCAAACGATTAAATGGGTTTATCATAACGAGTCTATATTTACGCAACATAGTGAAGGCCTCATCAAAAATGTGATGAAACCGCAGACGAATACAAATGGTGTGGAATTTATTCTCTCACAGACAAGCCAATGACTAGAACTCATTATCCAATCGAGTAGTATCCGCTCCATCAGTGAAGACCTTCAAAGAGAAGCAGATATATATAATGCACTGATTAACAAAGGCTACAAGAGCCTACAATCCTTCATTATCTGTATCTGAAATTTTTCAAACTCCATACAATAGACCATTCAGTCAATTCCGCACTTATTTTGCAGCGCTAATCTAATATCATTATTACTTATAGTAATCCGTGATAGTGAAGATGGATTTAGGATTCACGGTAAGCTGTTATTGAATCAGAAGACTTGATTTATTGAGGAGACCTGAATTAGCGATATTCCTACTTAAGCAGTAGTTATGATATCAGTTGAAAACAGTAATAGTCCAAAATACCCGACAACAGAAGGCTTTTTGGTGAACTTGAGTGTATGGTCCACAGATGTACGACCTTGAAGGACACTGATGCCATCATCATTCAAATAAAAGCAAAACAGAATACGGCTAAACACGCAGTTAATTTAGAAGCAGAGTGCCGTATATCGTCAAAAGCTGTGGGTGTAATGTTAGCTAGCCTCCGGTTCATTAAAATTAGAAGGCTTAGTTCAACTTTAAGTGCCAAATAGGGCAACGAATAACCTTTGAGAGCTCGATCAGCAGGTTAGTTAAACCAAGTAAACAACGCAGTAATTGTGAATAAAATATCATTAAGCGAGTATTATAAGGAATGCCTCCAAAGCCTCAGGATGGTCGGGGGTGGGTGTCTCGCACCGCGGGTTACCCACCCCTCCGTACACCTCTTGAAATGCTCCCATATGACCGTGCGTCTTACATAGCCTCTCCTGAGGAAGTCCTACTCACTGCCTTCACGTGGCGGAAGTGTTTATTTCACCGAAGTGAGAGGGCGAAAGCGGATGCCCGGCGCTCTTCACCGGGTTGACTGTCCATTGGATGACAGTCTAGGGGAGTTGGCTAAACCCTGATTCCAAACCTTCAACGACTGGCGTATGAAGCTCACCGGCAGACGTATGGACAAAAGGCTTATTGGATGCCCTGGATGTCTGGCCCCATTCAAAAAGGCGTATGAACCGGACTCCGGTCACCGGCTGCCAATGGATAGTGGACTCCCTACTCCACTTCTACTGCCTTGTAGGTCACACTTGGTTGTGTAAAGGCTAGAGCTGTACTCTCAAACAAAAGGCCGAGCGATGCTGGGGACATCACTCGTACCCAATTCCCATGAAACTTCATCAACTCTCTTACAAACATTCGAGATGTTCATGAAGCCGGTTCATCCTTCCTTAGGAGATAGCCGAAGTAAAGTAAGTAAGTAATGCCTGGTTAGGCCTTAGTAAGATTAGGTTACGGTTCAAGCTACGAATACGCTAGGATTAGATATTACGGTAGGTCCGAATTAGATTAGGAATAGTTTCACGTTAGGGTTAATTCATTGAAAGATTACAGTTAGGAGACAGTGATAAAACGCCGACATGCAACAAGAAAACGATATATTAAGAACATGTGAAACACACGAAGGCTAACTAATACCCGCGATGCGACAAAACTGTAGGCAACCTTGAAATACATAAGTTAAAACAATTAATTGCAAGATTGAACATAGTGATTATTACCTACGATTATATTAGCGCTAAAAAACAGAAACCCACCCACTCAAGGAAAGAGGGTGGCACTTTCTTATCAGCAGTTACAGTGGTGGTCAAAAACGGAAATCTCTTTTATCTATAAGATAGCGACCTGGATATAGACAAAAGGTAGAAGACACAAGCACAAACAGTTTGTGGAGACGCTGAGCACTTTGAGTTCACTTATACTCATTGTGAACAGCAAATTTTCCTTTGTGTGAACGTTGGGGCCATTAAATAGTGTGCATCAAGGCAGCAGGTTTTGAATTTTCAATAGTGAGAATTGTATAGACATTATATTTCACCTTGGGGCAATAGATTAATATGTTCATAAATTCCTCAGATGCATGTGCACTGACTTTACTTGCGAAAACAAATATATTGGATAACTCAATAGAAGAGGTTTAGAGTTTGAATTTGAATTTTTTTAGTTGACTATAACCGATGGGTGGGAAAGACGGTTTCCTTTTCCAGGGAAGAAACTGGGCTAGATAAAGTGGATGGTCTGCGAATACTCAAATACACCCCTCAATGAATGAACAACTGATCTATAAGCTGGAAGATTTCACAATTCTATGGTGATTCCCTCGCCTTTTCACATATGCAGTGGGCATAAGAGAAGGGACTCTTTACCGGAGGTAAGATCATTTCCCCTGCAATGTGCATTTTCTCAGATACTTTTATACTATTATACTCTATTTTATCTCAACTCCTTAGGTCAATAATAAAGCTAAAATTTAATCTTTTCATTCACATTCTTCGCTTTGATGAAGCGAAAAAAGAATAATTACACCCAAGTTTGAGAAAAACTATATTTTCGTCGAAAATGTCATAATTTTCTATGGTAGCACCAATATGGTTAGCATCATATATTGCAAACGTGTAACATCATTTCAGGGACTCTAAATCTCTTTCTCGCATTTATCTTGTAAATAATCTTCAAATAATGTATTACCCACAATTGCATTTTATACTGTTTGGCGTTTCCCGGGACATTAATCTCTACCTTGGGGCATAGAAGTCACCCAGATATATATTGTTTTTCGATGATCACAATTATCAGCAGGTAAAAGAACGAAGTTTGGGTTGTCGATCAACTTCCATGGGGACCTTAGTAGAGGGTTTGTAATTTAACGTCTATAAGAATCTGTTCTGGCTGCTGATACTTTAACTCAACAATGTGAATTTGGGCAAAAGTGCTGGTCTGTGCTAATTCACAATTGTAATTTATAATAAAACTGATCGTGCTTATAAATTTGGCATGCATTTCGTGTGCGAAATATATATTAAATAAAGTATAACTATATTTCAATAGTTTACAGACAATGAAAAGTTTCGTTATTGGTAATATTTCGAGCAAAATTACTTCCCATGTTCACACCACTGTTGGAATTGTGCTCGATATATTGCCAATCACAAAACTCATCATTGTACGTAAACTGTTAAACTATAATTATACTTTATTTCATCTAATCCGCAATGCTCAAAGTTTTAAATATATATATTATTATAATAAATCCGACGTATTCGTTGGAGTATTTCGCGAACAACCATAAACCTGGGACTACGAAGCATGTTAACTGCATCAAATAACAATGTATAAGACCCCATGGTTGTCAATGTAGTTGAAGATTGAACGATCAATTCACGGTTGTTTGCTCAAAATCATCTTCCCCAATTTTCGCGGAGGCATCAATACGACAGTCATCGTCTCATCGGTCGTTGTTCAGAAAGAAGTCAGCAGTAAACCGTCAGAAGTAATATTGTGATTTATTATTGTAATATATGTTCACAGACCTTAGTTGTAACAGTGTTTATATGTTGGTGTTACAATGAAGAATCCTCGAGTCAACAATTGGTGTTTTGGTTTTGCGTCCGTTATTACTAAGCGTTTCTGAGAAACTTCAAGGAA